TCATATGGAGAAGGAATAATATTTCATTACTATATTTTTATCGTCGATTGTAAGACTGATTGGAATATTCGCAACAGTCGATTACCCGTTTACACACGGTTGAAAGAAATCTAATTAATTTAACATTAATAACGTTAATAACAAATGAATAGCAGACGTTGTTCATAATAATATGTCTGACAAAGTTCCGTGAATGTTTCGGTTTCTTCGCTTTTTACTATGCCTTACGTGGCTACGAGGCTCGCGACTATTGTGTTCTGACGTAAATGGTAATTAAAATACCAGCCGTTGCAGGAAAAATAGCATGCCAAGAGTCTTATTATACGAATCAATTTTTGTTTTTAGAATACATAGTTTAATTTATGGATATTATTATGATAATATAATTTATGATTGACGCAAACGTTTTAATGTTAAACCGACCGGACAAAGTTTACACTAATGATATTAATTGATCAATCGCTATTTAAAGATACTCCCGCGATGAAAAACAGTAGATATTTATGTTTTATTTTCCTAGGTCGGATCCAGAGTCAGACGAATATTTCGATGAACTCTTTAATATTTTCCTTTTGCGAGAACAACCCGTCAGGTATGTTCATTCCGTCCCTACACATAAATAGAGTCTGAATTTTTTAATAAATACTAATTTTTTCAAAGTGAGACGCGACGTTACTAAAATGTTACTAATTTCGCGTAAGTCGTAGTATGTCGCGAATTAAAAGCATTATCAGCTGAATGTAATTTCAATTAATTCAGATAAAAATTGTTTTCGATTAATTTCACATTTTCCTGAGTTTCTCTATTTATCTGCATGTTACGTAATACTTCACATTTATTTAAGCATAACTACGCTAGAATTGATGAACGCTTCTTAAAAACTTTGCACAAATGATGATTAATGAACTCACGTTCGTCATATGATAACTGTGACGACAAAATAACGGCTAGCGTGGGCTCGAAGCCGGATTTTAATTTTATTCACGCTCTTAAACTTCATCTTTGTTGCATCGGACGAGAAATCCGGGCTGCGAGGAGATAATTAATGTTCCGCTAAATTTAAATAGCTGCTTTAACGGAGCGAAATATTCCTGTTTTTGCAGCGAGAAGCGGGAACCTACGCCGGGGGAAGGAGTCGGAAACAACGGAATACAAATGGTGCAATACGCTATGCCGGAGAGAGGTACTCTGAAATCCCTTTCAGCTCAACCACCGAGCCCGAACGATTCTCTATCGCGAAGTCCAAGGTAGAAATTTGCCCGGCGTAACAAACACGATTTAAACTTAAGTCAACGCCTTAGATACGAAAAAATCTATGTAGCAGATATATATAAGTAGGTAATTTTGTTTGTTAGACGCGAATTGTCGAGAATTTTCCATCGAAAGAGATTAAATACAGGGGGCCACGCATTGCCGTGCGTCTTTTACAACGAAATCTAAATGCATACTCTACCGGTTTCGACTTCTAGAAATTTACAAGCGTGAACATTCGACGAATATTTCAGTCTTTTTTCCCACACCGGAACTTCATTCTCGAAAGATCCTGCTTTAGATAAGATGTTAAAAAAAATCCCAACAGATTATTCCTTTGTTACGTGGCTACGTCTGGCGTAGCAGCGCGACATCGTTTCTTAGGAAGAGAACGCGCGCCGTATACTCGTAACTCGCGAGCGGATTCATTAATCAAAACGAACGCACGTACCGCACTACTGTATAGCGCTATAATTATTTCCAGTAAAATACACTTCAATGCAATCGCATTGCGAATCTATTACGTAGAAGTCGTAAAGAGGCACTCGTGCGAAGTCGAATAAATTTTTTTTCACTTTTTACAACCACATTTAATTGCGTAAGAGCACAATCTCAAGGCGCTATACGCTGTTTAAATGGAGCGCGTTTTGGATTACTTAAATAATCCAAATTATTATATTTAACGAAAACAAAGTTTCGGAAGAAGATTAAAGAACTTAAAAGACATTTAAAGAATGAAGATAGACATTTAAAGAGTTTAAAGGCCTTGAGAAGACAACAGAGCCTTTGTTCGCTCATATAATGCCTCTTGTGTCCATTTCCATAGGCGGAATAACTTTAATCTCGGTTCAACTTACTTTTCATCTTTTTCTAATTCTTAAAACTAGAACAAGATAAAAAGTAAGTTAAACCGTGATTAGAGTTAATCTGCATTGGTAGAAATGGACATTATCGTATACACATATCTGTGATACACATATGTGTGTAAGCGGTGCTTTGACGTGACAAATATTAAAATTTCTAATATTATTATTATCTTTTAGGGTCTCCGGTGAACGCTGCAATCCATACATTCGTCCAAATCCGCCGCCCTACGTCGGACCGAGTAACTTGTAAGTATTCTGCGGCTCTTTCCGTACGATCGCCCTAATATATTTACATCTCAATCAGCGTGTTACGTATTATTCGTTTTGTTCCGTGTTCATAGCGCCGGTCTACGCGCCGATTTCTGACTACACGAGCAACCCGCGAAAACCTGGTTCTGCTAAGTGAAATATAGTTCGCGGGTGGCATTCAGCTGGACGTTCCGAAGAAGGTATAACGGAGCCGAGTGTTGCAAATTCATCGAAACCGGCTCCAAATTTGCAAGTTGAATCACATCAAATACGCACGTCGCTTATTATCGCGTAGCCATAAACATGTATTGCGTCACGCTTTCCAAGCAATATAACAGCGGTTTGTTGGCGTTGAAACATTCTCTCTGGGAAATCGATTTGCGTTTGAAAAATTTTTTCGAAATCTATCTT